CACGTGAAAGAAGCTCAAACTAGACAGCAAAGAGGTCACCCTCCCAAGAAGGGGTTGCACCAACCCAGGTAAACAGAGCTGCTGCTGAGCCAGGGCTTGCCCAGGCCCCAACCTTGAGTGATGTCCCAGTGCATCACTGACCTGCCGCGCCTGGAGCCCGTCTGGGTGGTGCCAGCGTGTGGCTGAATCACCACACACGGGGCTTCCTCCCCGGAGAGAGTCTTGATTTTCAACCCATGAGCAAATTTAGCACTGGGGAAGGCAGACAGTGAGTGGGTACAACCTCCAGGGCTCCGACAGTGCTGCTGCTGAGACACTCCCCGGGCTCCATCAGACCCCCGGCTCCTCCAGCCCTAGTGCTGAACTCCAGCTGTGCGCTCCAAGGCTGTCTCTCAATCCTGACCCCTGCTAGTCCCTTCCCACACTCGCCAAAACTTGACGGCCAGAGCCCGACTGGCCCAGAGCCAGCAGGGAGAGCGGCGTGAGGAGAGACCTCGGGGACCAGGTGCAGACGCAGAGCTGGCTCAGAGCGTTCCAGCCCGGGGCTGTGCTCGAGGCAGAGCTACTGTGCATGCCAGGGAGGGGTGGAAAGCGGCTGTCCCCCGGAGTTCCCCCCCGGGGCGGGTTCCCTTCTCCCGCCGGGGCTGAAATCCCATCCCCGATCCCAGGAGGTGCTCCTGTTCCTCGCGGCGCATGGGGATCGGGCTCCATCCCCATCCCGGGAGGTGCTCCCGGGGCTCGGGCTCCGTCCCCCATCCCGGGAGGTGCTCCCGGGGCCTCGGCCCATCCCCATCCCGGGAGGTGCTCCCGGGGCTCGGCCTCCATCCCCATCCCGGGAGGTGCTCCCGGGGCTCGGGCTCCGTCCCCATCCCGGGAGGTGCTCCCGGGGCTCGGGCTCCATCCCCATCCCGGGAGGTGCTCCCGGGGCTCGGGCTCCGTCCCCCATCCGGGGAGGTGCTCCCGGGGCTCGGGCTCCATCCCCATCCCGGGAGGTGCTCCCGGGGCTCGGGCTCCATCCCCATCCCGGGAGGTGCTCCCGGGGCTCGGACTCCATCCCCATCCCGGGAGGTGCTCCTGGGCCTCAGGCTCCATCCCCATCCCGGGAGGTGCTCCTGGGGCTCGGGCTCCATCCCCATCCGGGGAGGTGCTCCCGGGGCTCGGGCTCCGTCCCCATCCCGGGACCCCCCCGGGTCCCCCCGTCGCAGCCGCACAGCGCCACCTGGCGGCCAGGCCGGCGCACGGCCGCGCTGGGGGGGGGTCCCGGGGGTCCCTCCCGGGGGTCCCTCTGAGCCCCCCGCGCTCGGTGGCACCGCGGCTCCGGCCCGTGGCAGGTACCACGCAGAGCGTCACGGCCCCCCAGGTCCTGCCCGGCTCTTTGCTGCAGGGGCTCAGGGAAACGGGAGATTTGGGGGGGGGGATCTCTGCAGCCGCTCCTGCGCTGGTGAGTGGGTCCAGCTCCGCGGCCAGACCTCCACGGACACCGCACTGTCTCATCAGCTCCCGCAGATCCAGGACTCTCGGGAACAACAAGGGAGCTGTTCCTCGGGAGTAAGACCCAAACTATTGCCCGCCGGTATCGGCATTCATGTCCTGCCCAAGGAGCCCCCCGTGGTACTCAAAGACTCTTCTCCCACTTCCTTCCTCTTTTCTAAGCTTTCCAAGCTGCTTGGCTGGAGCACCTTCCTCCCTCCATCTGCTTCAGGGCTCGGGCCAAGTCCGGAACTGCTCCTGGTTCCATCCAATGCCCTGTCAGTGCTGCCCTGCTCCTGACCTCGGGGCATCGACACCCATCACTCCACCCACCTGTCCCAGGAGCATCCCATCCCCAGCAGCTCCACGTACCTTCCCTCACAGTCACCCCAGACCACCCAGGCACAACTCTCCTGTTCTGCTCATGGGGCAGCTTTAACCACAAGGTCCTGGCACAGGACGTTTTAATGATGCTGATGAGCTTATCTGGTCCTTGGTGCTCAGCAGCTTCATGCTGGGAGCACAGAGGGGCACTGAGGACCCAGCATCTGAGCTGGGCAACCCTGGTTTGTTCAGTTCCCTCCTCATTCTCCTGCCACCTTCTCTCTCCCTCTTCCCTTCCATCACCTTCTTTCCACAGCATATGCAACACCTGAGCCATTGGAGTGGGGCAGGGCAGAGCTACTCCAGGCAGGACAGTGGCATGAGCAAAGCAAAACACCTACTTGCTTTCCATCAACTCATCCTCCACATTATATCCAAGTGCACCAGAGCCAGCTGTAGCTCAGCCTTTCTCAGGGGGATGAAGCCACCCACTCAGAGCCACCACAGTCTCCCACCTCTCCTGCAGTGGCTCCGATCCAGGGCTCTGCCATCCTTCCACTTCCCAGCATTTCCTCCCTCTGTGCTCAGGCAGAGCAGCACCAAAAGGGCTCTGAGAGGGTGGGAGCTTTTATACCAGGTCCTTCAGCCCCCTCCCTCCAGCAGGGCAGGCTCAGCAGTGGAGCCAGCCCAGGTGCTGCCTAGTTCCCTCAGTCCCATCACCAAGGAGCAGCCCAGGCCATGGTGGTAACAGATCCCCACAAAACCAAGTGACCACTCCTGTGGAACAAAGTATCACATTCCTGACTGACATCCAGGAGGCACCCTGAGAAATTTGCAATCTGATTATCCCTTTGAAAATGAAAAAACAAAGAAGGAAACCTGCCCAGCCCCTGCCTGCCCAAACTACTCCCTGGCACTGCCCTGCACTGCCCATGTGTCCACATGCCCCAGGGAGCTGTTTGCCCTTGGGGAGCTGAGCACATCACTTTTTTCAAAGGTTGGAAACAGACTGGGCCCACAAGTAGGGCACTTGCACTCGTGGGTAACTTCTCTGGGCTTGTGGTCTCTATTTTTGAGCCCCTTCATCAGTCTTCACGGAGTTAATTGGTGTACAAGTGCAGGATGGACACTGTCAGCCCCAGTGTGCTTAGCAGGGACCACGGTCCCCAACCAGCTGCTAAGGCTGACAGCTGGTGGTGCCCTCAGAGCTCATTCCTGTTCTCAGGAGCGTTTCCAAGGATGCAGGATCAGTGCTGTCAGCATGGAGCCCGCGCTCTGGAGGACGCTGAGCAGGGACACAGTGGGCCCAGAGCAGCCACAGCCCCTCGGGCACATCCGCACACGGAGCGAGCACCTCTGGGGCGTTGTTAGTGCAAAATCAGCCGTTTCAGGTGGAACTCGCAGTGTCCCCAGGCAGCACGGCCAAAGGTGATGTTCTTTATCAGTGCCTTGTGCTCCTCAGATACCAAATATCAAAATGTGCTTTGAAACATTCCTGATATCGAATATTCCTTGGAGATTAGTGCAGAGCCTCCTTCTAGCTCATCTCTTCCCTCCCAGCAGAGGCGACGAACATGATACGTTATCAGGACCTTCCCACGCTGTTAGCAGTGGCACAGGGACTTGGTGACCCACCTTGGAACAGCACACTGAATATTTAGGAATTTCCTGAGCTTAGTAAATGATAACATCTTTATCATGTGAGCCCTTTAAACCCTCAGTGCTGCCAGGAGCCTCTGTCCTCGATGAAGGACAATATCGGACCCAGGGCACTGATAAAAAATAGTTCCCTGAGTAAACAGCAGTGTCAGGCTGGAGAGAGGAGAGCTGGACTGGCAGAGACAGGTGCTGGACTGGCACACAGGGGTGCTGGGCTGGGAGAGAAGGGTGCTGGACTGCCATCAGTCCAACACTGATGACTTCCATTAGCAGAAGGGGTTGGCTCAAGGCTCAAAGCACAGGTCAGGATTCATCCCAGCATTTCCACTGTCTGCAAACAGAATATCCAAGGCTGCACTCCCAGCTGGTGTTGGGAGGTCCCTGGTGTTTGGACCACTCACTGTGTCCTTGCAAGATTATCCTGTGTCACACACACAGGGAAAGAGATGCTGATGCCCTCCGAGGAATTGGTCCAGATGGGAACACTCGGGATGCTCAGGGCTACAAAGAGACTGTCATTAGTCCAGGAAGGATGAACTCAAGTGCCTGAGGATCCTCTGCCCAGCTCAGCCTTGGAGAAAAACACCAAGGAACAACCTCACACATTGCTGGGGAAACTGGGGGAGATGGCCCTGCTTGGTGAGGAGGGGATGCAAAGCACAGAGGAATAAATCTGGACCTGAGCGAAAGGAGAACAGCAAAGACATAAAGGTTGGGAGTCCAGAGCCCAGGGAACCAAGGCAACCTCTGTTACATAACCCTACAAATGTCTTAAACCCAGTTTTGCTGAGAAATGAGTCGTCAGCAATGATTAAACCCTGGAGAAGCCATAAACCAGCAACTTCTGATAAAATGGAACACTGATAGGGCGAAGCTCAGCAGTGTGTAAGTGGATGAGGGTCATCCATGGTGAGCAACAGAACCCGGGCAGTGGGAGCTGGGCTAATGGAATACAGGGGCTTCAGAGCTGGGCTGCCCTCTGGAGCATCTCTGGAGGTTGGTGCATGGCCAGGGTCCAGGGAAGATCCTCAGTGTTCAGCTCCACAAAGCCACACTGGAGAACCTTGGGTAAATCCAAGCTCCTCCCTGACCCTCTGAGCCCCCATCTTGGGGTGGACGAGCAGCCCTGGGGGAAGTGAGTCGCCTTCTGAGGCCAAACTGCTGACCACAGACCAGGGCACTGAGAGCCAGGAGTGGGGAAAGGACACCACAGTGGGCTGAGAGGGATGGTGGTGGGGACCCAGGGGCCAGTGGAGGCCAGTTCCCAGCCTCCTACCACACCAGCAATCCTTCCCACTCGTGCACACCAACACAGCACCCACTGCCTCTGATGGAAGAGGTAGATGTGGTGTTTGACCCATCAGGAAATTTAAGCTAATGTACTGCAGTGAGACACAAGCAGAGAGGCTCTGATACAAAGTGCTGGCTGAAGCCACGCACCCGATCAGCAACTGCAAGATTAGATAAGGACTGAACTTAGTCCCATCCCACACATATTAATGCCAGCTCTCCAGACACCTGGGCTATTCCAATTCAAGGGCACGAAGATGCTCCCATCACTGGGGCTGCTGTTTGCTGCCCTCTCCTTAGCCAGATGCATCCCCCTGCAGCAGGCACCCAACCGCAGCAAACTCCTCCTGGTGTCCTTTGATGGTTTTCGGTGGAACTACGATCAGGACGTGGACACCCCCAACCTCGACGCTATGGCTGCAGATGGGGTGAAGGCCAAGTACATGACTCCTCCCTTCATCACCCTCACCAGCCCATGCCACTTCACACTGCTGACCGGTGAGTACCCCGGCCACAGGAGCTGCGAGGAAGGCTGGGGAAGGGCAAAGTCAAGGCTTATGCATCAGAGAAGGACACGCTGTCAGGAGCTCCAAACTCAGCAGCACAGAGCTTTAGAGCAGAGAAAAGGCAAGGGCTGCAAAAATGGTCAATTTAAATTAGATGGGGGAAGAAATTCTTCCCTGTGAGGGTGGTGAGGCCCTGTGGCAGCTGTGGCTGTCCCGTGCCTGGAAGTGTTCAAGGCCAGGTTGAATGAGACTTGGAGCAGCCTGGTCTAGTAGAAAGTGTCCCTGCCCATGGAAGGGAGGTGGAATCGGATGGTTTTTAAGGTCCCTCCCAACTCAAACCACTCTGGGATTCCATGAACTGAACCTGTATTTATCAGACGTAAATAGTGCCAGACCAACCCGATAGCCTCCTTTGGTAAGATAAATTATTTTTCAAACAAGGGAGATGCTCTAAATTTAATCTCTTTGGACTTCAGTAATGCATTTGATACAGTGCCACATGGGAAATCATTAGTTAAGACAGAGAAGATGAAGATTAGTACAAAATCTGTAACGTGGGGAACTGAGGGGCTATGGGAAGAGGATGCAGGGGATGCTGAGAGGAGATTGTCAAGCTGGAGGGAGGGCACCAGGGGAATTCCTGAAGAATCGATTTTGGAGCCAATCTTATTTAAGATTTTAATTAATAACCTTGGCATGAAAGAGTGGAGCATGCTAATGAAAACTGCTGATCGGCAAAGGCAGGGAGGCAGCGTCAATATGAGGGAGGACGGGGATATCACGCAGAAGGGATTGCGCAGTCCTCGGGACCACTAGAATAAAAATAGCACAAAATGGAAGGTCAAAGTGCAAATCTCTTCCTTCTGATGGGAACTTCTCCTGCTCACTGACCTCACGGGTTTAGGTCAACAGAACCTGCAAGCAGCATTCCCCCAGCATCTCCTTCCCCGCCCCAGGACCCCACTTTGTGTGAGGTAGTGGGAGAAAGGGGCAAAGGGAGAGGTGGGAGGGGGAGGCCCAAGGTCCCACTGACCAAAGGCAACCCATCACCCAGCGCAGGGGCGAGACCTCCCCAGCACAGCCTGGCTCACCCCCTCGTGTCTCCCACAGGGCGATACCTGGAGAACCACGGCGTGGTCCACAACATGTGGTTCAACACCACCACAGGGGTGAAGCTGCCCTACTACACCACGCAGGGCATAAGCAGCTGGTGGGACAATGGCAGCCTGCCCATCTGGATCACTGCCCAGAGACAGGCAAGTGAGGCACCTCCTCGCACGCACCGACCCCGCACAGGCACAGCCCACCTGCCATCCTGCAGGAGAAGCTACCGGCAAGCCATGATCCCTGGTGGCTGTGAGTTCCCAGCCTCCCTGAGAATGTCAGGCTAATTAGACCAGCAAAAAACAGAAATCCCCAGACACTGGCAGGAATAATTATGATCATTCTATTAAAAATAGCAAAAAAGAATAGATGCATTTCAGCTTTATTAAGACATTAATGAAACAGGTTATACTGTTCCTGTTTAAAGAAGCCTCAGCCCCTGTTCCTCAGGGAACATCCTGAGTCCAGGGGTTCCATACACCTCAGGGCACACCCAGGGCAGGAGGGTGGCAGCCCTGGGGGCCACTCCCCTCTTCCCTGGGGACTGCAGCAAGCCCAGTAGGCTTTGAATCTGTCTTTAAGACAGGACCTGAGACCTGGCCAAGACATATCCCTTTTGTCCATATTTACCTGCCAAATTGGCTCCTCTGACTTCAACAAAACACAACTTAATGTCTTGATGATCAAGAACCAGAGGGTCCATGCAAGCTGCAAATGGGTCACTGGTTCCAGAGTTCTATCTGGTGTTACTAACACAGTGAGAAAACCAGTGTGACAGGGCAGTGCTTTCCGTTAATCACTTTTAATTGGCAATGCAAAAAAACCTCATTAGAGGCAGTGGTAGGCACTGGGGGCTGAATGAACTAACCATGTTAGGAGGTGGCTGCACTGACAGATGGAGGGACACTGCCAAGTGAGTTCAGGGGAGTTTATGGAGTGTCTCCACTCACAGGGTTTGAAGACAGGCTCTATCCACTTTCCTGGAGGAAAAGCAAAATACCAAGGGGAAGAAGTGAGCAAGAAGTTGGTGGAGCCCCCCATATTCAACTACAGCAACGAAACCAACTGGAGGGAGAACATCGACACGGTCATGGAATGGTTCACAGTGGACAACCTCGACTTCATCGCACTCTACTTTGGAGAGCCAGACTCCTCAGGACACAAGTATGGCCCTGAATCCACACAGAGGAAAAACATGATCAAGCAGGTGGACAGAACCGTCGGTTACTTGAGGCAGCGTATCCGGGAGAGTGGCCTGGAATCAAAGCTCAACCTCATCATCACGTCTGACCACGGCATGGACACCGTCATAAAGACCAACGAGATCCTCATCCGGACCATAAAGAACTTCACATTCAAAGACATCGACTTTGAACTCTTAGATTATGGACCAAATGGACTCCTGGTGCCAAAAGAAGGGAGATTAGAGCATGTGTACTCAGTCCTGAAAGACGCCCACCCAAAACTGCACGTGTACAAGAAAGAAGAGTTTCCAAAGAGATTCCACTACGCCAACCATCCTCGGATCACCCCACTTGTGCTGTACAGCGATCCAGGATATGTGATCCATGGGGTAAGGTGTATGCACAGGCATACTCTACTGTCCTTGGGGATGAGCCTCTCCCCTCCTCTTCTTCTCACAGCACCCCAGCACTCACCCAGCCTTAGGCCTTTGTGCTGATTGGTCTCCCTAAAACAGATTGAGATTCAAGCTCTTTGTGTAAAGATCTTCTCTGCTGTTGAGAAGATAACATGTCCAGAAGCCTTGGGGTAGGACTTGCATGAATGCAAATATCTGTGTCAGGATCCTCTCCTAGCCTGGCATGAAGGGAAGGTCCAGTGTTAAGGCCAGCACGCAGCTTCCCGTTGGAAGCTCCTCAGTACAACAAAATTTGGATGTGCTGACGTTAAGGGGGGAACTTGCAGGATGTTGTTGAGAGGTTGAGAGGATGTGTTTGGGGGCACCTCCAGCTTCTGCAGAGTATGACACTAATAGATCAGCTTCCAAAACTGAAAGGAACCAACCAGACCATCAAACCCTGCAGGAGCAGAACGGCGTGTGCGAGGTGGGAGACAGGGGGACACCCAGCAGTGCTGCTGCCCCCTGGGGCTGTGCTGGGGGTGGAGGGGCTGGGGTGCTCACATCCTCACTCTTCCCTCCAGAGGATCAAGGTCCAGTTCAACAAAGGGGAACATGGTTTCAACAACGAGGACATGAACATGAAAACCATCTTCCGTGCCGTGGGACCAGCCTTCAAGAAGGGGCTGGAGGTGGAGCCCTTCGAAAGTGTCAACGTCTATGCCCTCCTCTGCGAGCTGCTGGGCATCACCCCTGAGCCTCACGATGGCTCCCTGGAGGTCACCAAGCCCATGCTGCAAGGGTCGGAGGACTCTGGGAGCGAAGGTGGGCACCGGGAGCAGCAGCAGGCGCCGGGGGTGACAGTGGGCAGTGGGGGTGGTGGCAGGCACTGGGAACTCACACCGGGAGCGGCCCCGGGAGCAGCACCAGGAGCAGCCCCGGGAGTAGCCCCGGGCACCGGGAGCGGCCCCGGGAGCAGCCCCGGGCACCGGGAGCGGCCCCGGGAGCAGCACCGGGAGCAGCCCCGGGAGTAGCCCCGGGCACCGGGAGCGGCCCCGGGAGCAGCCCCGGGCACCGGGAGCGGCCCCGGGAGCAGCACCGGGAGCAGCCCCGGGCACCGGGAGCGGCCCCGCCGGGATTCCCGCGGGAACAGCGACACCTGGCGGCCGCCGCCGCTCCCGCCACCCCCGGTCCGTGCCCCTCCCTCCCCCCGCCGTCCCCTCCGCCGCTGGGAACCCCCGGGCTCGGGAACCGGGCAGGGGTCACCGTGTCCCCGGCACCGGCACGGGGGTGCTGCCCCCGGGGGAAGGCTGGCACTGACCCCCCTCTCGGCCCTGCAGATTCGGGTGCTCCTCTCCCTCCTGCCAAGAACCTGCCGCTGATGCTGGGACTTGCTCTCGTTTTGGGAAGCTGGGGAGGAGTTTTCTAACTGCCATCAGGTAACTGACCCCAAGGACCCCTGGAAGGACCCTACTCAGGCTGACCCGGGGTCTCCCCAGCTCCTGTGTGTCTGTGGAACTGCTGGCCACAGTGCTGAGCTGGCCATGGCACCAGCCTGGCTCTGCTCAAGGCTGCCACTTGGCCTGGGAGCCTCAGAGTCAATCAGCGCTTCCAGCCCCTGCTCCAAGAGCCCTGGTCACCCTCAGCATTGTCCTACTTGTCTGTTCTGTCCCTTATGGCTGTGGACAAAAATGGGCAATGCCACCTATGCACAGCTGAGCTCCAAACCCACAGCCAGGATGGGCCTGCCCACACTGCTCCATGGCAGCACTCCTGAGACCTGCCCCATCTGCAGCCAAGTTATCTCTTGGGAGCTCTGGGAGGGATGTTGATGTATTTTGGAGAGATAGGGAATGTGGCAGTGCCAGGATCAGGACTCCCCCAGCTCACAGAAAACTCCCAGCCCTACAGTTGCCAAACCCCAGAGCCCTGCAGAGCCTGTCTGGTTGTGTCAAATTCACAGGACCCGCTCTGCAGCAGGGCTGAGGCAAAAGGCCTTCATATAAATCAAAACTTCCCTCTGCAGGAAGCAGCCCAGGGTCCCTCAGTCAGGTTGGGGTTTAGGGGACAGGGAGCAGGACATCCCAATCCCACAGGCCCCATTCTGGCCCTTCCAGCAAGGCATTCCAGTGGCCCCAGATGCTGCGGTGCCTTTCCCCAACCCTGTGCCTCATCTCAGGGGCTCGATAAACATCTGTTGCCATAGAGACTCACTCACTGTATCAGCTTCACCCAACGAGATGAAACAAGAGCCGCACCCTCAGAAAAACAGGAAGAAAATGTTTGGCTTGAAGCCGTGCTGGGGTGGGGGTCAGGGCAGCAGCAACAGCAGGGAGGCTCTGAAAGGGGAGCGTGGCCAGTGCTGTGCATGCCACTGAAATTGATATTAATGATAACAGTGCACAGAAACCTTCCCAGTTATCCTGCTGGTGACCTTGGGACTTTCTGTGCAGGTCAGCACATCCATGCCCGTTTTACAGGGGGAGGCAGCAAGCTCCGTTGGGAAGTTGCTATCCTAGAGATCCCAGCAGAGTCTGCAGAGCTCAGAATCCAGTGGTGTCAGGCCCCACACAGCCCCACACCAGGAGTCCTCAGGGTGCTCCAGTGGGTATGGAGCAGGATCACAGACCCATGGAATGGTTTGGGCTGGAATGGACCTTAAAGCTCATGTCATTCTAAGCCCCCTTTCCACTACACCAGGCTGCTCCAAGCCCTGTCCAGCCTGGCCTTGGACATTTCCAGGGATGGTGCAGACACAGCTTCCCTGGGCAACCTGGGCCAGGGCCTCCCCACCCTCACAGGAGAGAATTTCCTCCTAACTGCAGTGAGGAAGGGACTGTCCTGGAGGAACACCGAACCCTGCCATACCCCTGCAAGAAGGTTTCCATTGCTTCTGAAATCCCGGAGTTTGCCGTGGGACACACTTCAGTGTGGCTGTTTTCACGTGGAGCAGCGGAACATAAAACACTGGGCACAGCTCTTGGTCTTGATGCATTTCCAGCACGGAGCATCGTCCGATCTCTGTGCTTCTGAGAGCCGGCCCTGCTCCTCCATGCCCCCTGCCTGTCCCCGTCCCCGGTGCCGTGCCGGTGTGCGGTGTCCCTGTCGCCGGTGTCCCGGTGCCCCGATGCAGTACCGGCAGCCTGCGGCCGGGGGCTCCCGAGCCGCGCTCACAGCCCGGCATTCCCGGCATCCCGGCACCGGCGGTGGGAGCAGCTCGCGGTAAACCCACGGCCCGGAGCATCTCCCCAAAGCCGTGGTGCCCGCAGGCACCAGCCGCTCGCCCAGCGCCGCCCGCTGCCCCAGGGCCACCAATCCCCGGTGGCTCCCCCGGAGAGGGACCCGCTCCTCGGTCCTGCGGGACAAAGCCTGGGAACCATCTCTGGCAGCCGCCGAGCCCGGGGCGCTCCCCAGCACCCACTGAAGCTCTGGCTGCACCACAACGCTCAGGGATGCTCCAAGGGTTGCCCTGGAGTTCCATGTCATACACTGCAATCTCCTGGTCCCCTCCTCCCCCCGACAAAGCGCTCCGGGATGACGAATGCTCCAGTGTCCCAGGCCAGATGGGGGAGGTGGATCCTTTCCCCCGTGGGTGCAAGAAGGTTTAACCCTACAGATGCACAGAGCTGTGATAGCCTAAACTGGGTGCTGCCCCTCTGCTCCACGGCCCAGAAGCCACCCCTAGCCCAGCCTCTTCCCAAGAAAATCCAAAACTGTCAAATTTTGCATGTCCTTTGCCAGCCTTTCCCATTGCACCTCACACCTTCTGCACTGGCACCGTGGGACGTTTCCACCAAACATTTCCCAATGACAAAGCCCAAAGTCCAGCCTGCCCTTGTCCAGACACAGCCACTGCCTGATCCCCACAGATCCCCCCGCCCTCCCATTCCCACATAATTCATTCCCCATCGCCCCCCTCTCCAGGCTGGGGGTCACACAGCAGGGAGAGCCCTGCTGTGTATTGCATCCCAATTTGCCATGCATTTCCACACCATTTGCTTCCCTTTCTTTTTCCTGCACTGGGAAGCTGCTCACTGCCCAGGGGTCCCAACTGCTTCAGGATCGGAAGATAACAACAAACATACATGGACATATATTTATTTATGGATCACAGTGTGCAGGGACACTGCTGCCTCCAAAATGCCCAGTCTGGGGGTGGCACATGCCCCTATGATTCCCACATGTGGCCAAGGGGCCCAGACATGACGTGGTCCCTGGTCACCCCATCCTGGAAGCTGCACAGATCCTCACCCGGCTGTGGTACCCAAATGGTATGCAGATCTCTGTGCTTCAATTGGCTGATGACTTGGGAAAACAGCCACCATTTGCCCACAACAAACATGGCCACCATGGCCCAGTCCAGGGAGCAGCACAGCCCTTTTCTCTTCAACAGGCAGAGGAGACTTGGCTGCCCGTCCCTTCCTCTGACAGCAAACCCCAGCCCTGACTACCTAAATAATGCAGGAAGTGCAGCATTCCTGGGATGTCTGGCATACTTGGGAAAAGCTACAAAATCATGTTCCACCAGATTAGTTCAGGGGTCTGACTCTCTGTTTTAAGATGCTACAGATTTTCGTGGTGGTTGGTGAGTTTATTGGCCCTGCTGTCACTTTGGTGGGAACACAGGTCCAAGCTATTCAGTGTGTCTTCCTGGGTCTCTCTGGGAAGGTGAAGCCTGTCTGTGATGGGAAACACTGAACTCAGCCTAAAGGCACTTGCAGACCGAGTCACAACTTCGGCAGCAGCTGGGGGAGCATCTCCTCACACCTCAGGTAGTACCTCCAAGCAGTGCAGCTCCTGTGGTGGCTCCAGTCAGTGATGCCCAGGGAAGCTCCATCACTGGGATGGTCCCCTCTGGCTGACTGAGTGGAAAAGGGGCCATCACAGGATCCCAGGGGACATCCCACTCTGCCAGGGGTACAAAGCAAGGAGCCCACAGTAGCCTAGGGGCTGCCCAAGACCAGTTCCCAGTAAACCCCTGGGGACAGAAAGGAGATTTCCAGCCCAGGGAACAGCACAGCCCTTTTCACCCTCAGCTCCCCATCAGTGCAGAGGTGGGAACTGGACATGTGTGGCGTGGGGGCTACACAGCAATAGAGACTGTGCAGGGCTGGCCACGAGGGACCAGGGACAAAGCTGCAAGCACAGTCCCCCAAACACTGATCATGTGGTCCACAAAGACTCCTGAATACCAAGGACTGCTCCCACTTCCGACTTCCAGCCCCTCACCAGCTCAGCAAACAGAGGAGGGAGCACCTCCACTCACATCAGCCTTGCCTTCTTCACCCTGGGAAGGGAGAGAACAGCAACCCTACCCCTGTGTCCTCATGGGGAGCACAGGGACTCCAGCACAGAGGGGCAGCTGGGAGGGCTGCCCACTTAGCATCACCTGAACTGGGGCTCATTCCCAGCAGTGTTCATCTCTCAGAGCCAAATCCCTGCAGCCAGGAGGGCCCCACATGCTCCTCATCCCTTGAGCAGCACCCATGCCATGATGCCAGAATGTCCACACACAGCTCGGGCACACAAGGATGGGAGGTCACACAGGGCTTTTTCCTAAAATCTAAGAGGTGCTGCACACAAAGAGCCAAGCTGGTGGAAGGTAAATGCACTCAAAAGAAAGAAAAAGTGCGTTGCTGTTTTACAATTCTGTTTCACCTTTGGCTAAAAAAATGCTCCTACAGCTCTCCTGGTCAGCGAACGGCCGCGGCAATTGTCAAAGAAAACAACAAAAGATGATAGTGCTCAGCCCAGGACAACCCCCGGCATCGACCCAGCACCCCAGACACATCACATCCTGCAGCCCCCGGGTCACCTCCAGTCCCTAACGAAGCAGCTGGTTTCCCCTTTCCTCATGCGGGGGGTCCAGTGTGGTGACATTCCCCCCACAGCGGGGACAGCCCAGCATGCTGCTGCAGCTCCAAACGCTTTTCTAAACCCAGCATCGCTAAATCGAGCACCACTAAACGCGGCATCGCTAAACCCGGCACCACTAAACGCGGCATCGCTAAACCCGGCACCGCTAAACCCGGCATCGCTTACCGGAGACGGCAGTGCCCGGGGTGCGGACGAGGCCCCGCGCAGGACACCCCATGGCCCGTCCGGCTCCCGCTCAGTCCCTGCACGCCGCGGGCACAGAGGCGTGGGGGCGAGGGCAATTCATATCCCTGCGGCTCCCGCACGGTTAACGGTGGGCTCCGGGCCCGCGGAGGAGAACTCCCTGAGGTGCTGACTCATCTTCTTCCATGCCTGTAAAGCACCATATTTCATCCTTCCACGCCCACAGCGCACAACCGCCGTGCAGCAGCTCCTCACGCCGCCCTGCACGCCCCGGTGTGCGCGGTGCCGGCGCGGTCGCTGCTGCCGCACCCCCGGTAGCGCGGCTCGGGAGGGACCGTGGGTCGGGCGGTACCGGGCTGCGAACCGGCACCGCGCGAGGGTCATTAACACAACCGCCCCCGCCCAGGGAAAGCCTTTATTATACTATAATCAATTATTGTAGAACGAAAACGCGTCGGCGCTGCTGCCCCTTGCTCCGGCCCGGAGGGAACCGGTGGGGGCTGCCCCGGCCCCGGGATGCTTTGTCCCCAGGAGGGACATCGGCTGCCCGGGCGGGGGACTCGGAGCCCGGGTCCGCGCAGGAGGGACCCCTCGTGGGGTTGGACCGCAGGGATGCCCCCGGGGGGCCGGGCCGGGGAACCCCCCCAGCGCTGCCCGGGGGAACAAAGCCCCGGGCCGGGCGGCCCCATTGTCCCCGCTCCGGCCGGGCAGCGGCCGCCCCGCGCGGGAGGAAGAGGAGGGGTCGCCCGCAGACAATGCCTCCCCCCACCCCCCACGCCGGATCGCCCCACCCCCGTTCCCCATTGGCCGGTCGGGAATTTGGGGACCCCCGCCCCTCCGCCGTATTGTGCCGGGGGCGCGCGTGGATGTGGGGGTGAGAGCGCGCGCGACTACCATCGGGGGCGCGCCCGGGGCTCCCCTTGTGTGTGCGTGTGTGTGCGCGGGGGTGTGCGCGGGGCCGGGGCCATGGAGGAGCTGAGCAGCGTGGGAGAGCAGGTCTTCGCCGCCGAGTGCATCCTTAGCAAGCGGCTCCGCAAGGTGGGACCCTCCGCACCCCCGTCCCCCGCCGCCCCCTCCGCACCCGCACCCCCGCCACCGGTAACGCGCCTCTCCCCGTCTCTCTTCGCAGGGCAAGCTGGAGTACCTGGTCAAGTGGCGAGGCTGGTCCTCCAAGTGAGCGGGGCGGTGCGGGGCGCGGGGCTGCGCGGTGCGGATCGCGGAACCATGCGGTGCGGAGCGGGGTGCGGGGCGGGGCGCGGGTGCCGCCCGCCCGGCCGCTTTTGTTCGGGTCGCGCCGCTCCTTTTGTTTACAAATAAGCGCGGCCGGGCCCGGCCCTCCCCGCCGCCGCGTGGGGCTCCGCTCCCACCCCCGGGCCGGGCCAACCTTCCCCGGAGCCCCCGCACCCCGGCCCCGCGCCCGCCCTGCTGAAACCGGAGCTACCTCGGGATGCGCGGGGCTCTCCTCGCCCCGCGGCGGCGTGGCCGCCCCCTTCCCGATCTCACTCCCCTGGCCCCTCTCCCCCTCCCGCCCCCCGGCTGTGCCAGCCCCTGTGCGGGGATGCCCCGGTCCACGCCGGGTCCGGTTGTCCTCGGGTGAACCCCCCCGGTGCTGGGCCGGTAACGGAGATGGCGTGGGGGGGTCGACCCCCTGCTCTGGCCCAGTCCGTGTCCTCTGTTTCAGGCACAACAGCTGGGAGCCCGAAGAGAACATCCTGGATCCCCGGCTGCTCCTGGCTTTCCAAAAGAAGTGAGAAAACTCTAAATATTTCTAAGCAAACTATAAAGTTAATTAACTTCTAATTGGCTGCGCGTGCAGTGGAAGTTGTGGAAACAACAGCCTGGAGCTGGCCGGTCCCTTTGTGGCTGGGCCCTTTTGTTGGTCCCTGGAGTCACAGTCCAGGTTCACCTGGGACGGCTCTGCCCAGGCCGGGCAAACACCGAGGGTTCGTGGCCCAGCTGTGCTCTGGGTGCAGCAGCGCCTGGCACAGACCTGGGGCTCCCCATCCAGCAGCCACAGACCCCAGAGGGGAAACAGTGCCTGGGCTTGGAAGGCACTAAAATGAACTTCTGGAGGGTGAAGCTTTAGGAGAGTGAGGGAGTGATGGAGAAAACCACAGAATCATAGAATGATTTGGGCTGGGAAAAACCTTAAAGCTCATCTCATTCCATTCCCTGCCATGGGCAGGGACACTTTCCACTGGCCCAGGTTGCTCCAAGCCCCCTCCAACTTGGTCTTGAACACTTCCAGGGCTTGGGCAGCCACAGCTTCTCTGGGCAACCTGTGCCAGGGCCTGTTCACCCTCACAGCCAGGAATTCCTTCCCAATATCCCATCTAACCTGCCCTCTGGCCGTGGGAAGCCATTCCCCCTTGTCCTGTCATTCCAGGCCCTTGTCCAAAGTCCCTCTCCAGCTCTCTTGGAGCCTCTTTAGGTACTCAGAGGTGCTCTGAGGTCTTCCTAGAGCCTTCTCCAGAGTGAACAACCTGGATTGCTGAACAAAATGGTGTCTGTCCTCTGTCAGGGCCGTGGCTCCTGCCCAGAGCCAAGCTGGGAACAGCAATTGTTCCACAGCCGTTGCGTCCCAGGAATCACACACGGAGGGGAAAGAGTAGCCAGCTGGCTATGGCAGGCACAGAGCTGCCAAGTATTTTGGCTCTATAATAATAAAAATCATAAAAGTTTAATTTAGGATTTAATTATAACTAGTTTCTGGATTCTTTTTTTTCAAGAATAGGATCTGGTGGTGAGTGCAGACAGGACTCAGGACTTAATCAGCCAGATTTGTTACAGTTTAACACAGTCCTGTTTAAAAGGAAAGAGTGACCTGAAACATCCCTATGTGACCACCTTGGCTTTGCCACCTTTGGCCTCCAGCCTGGCCCACCACAGCCAGACCAGGAGGTGCAGGAGAGATGGAAGGAGCCCAGCAAAGAAGGGAACTCGCTGAGTTTGTAAGGAATGTGTTTGCTTTTCCTCTGCTCAGTGTGGAAGCTCAACTCAGCAGGGGTTTAACCAAGGTGAGGTTTAACAGGGCCAGGGATGATCCTTCCCTTTGCCTGATCCCCTTGTACCAGAGAACACAGTAAATCTCACCAAAAATTGGAAAAGCCACGGATCTGGGATATGTAATGCCATGTGGTCCATCACTGATGCTGGAAGCTGTGGGAATGTTACTGATGCAGACAGGGATGTTCTCCAATCCCTGACTGCCTTAGTTTCCCCAGATGTTTTTTTCTTCCCTGCAAACATTGTCTTTAATCCTTGCTTTCTTCAGGGAACATGAAAAAGAAGTACAGAATCGGAAGAGGGGCAAGCGGCCCCGGGGCAGGCCCAGGAAACACGTGGTGAGTCCTGGCAGTGGTGGGAATCCATGGCCATGACAGCACTGTAGGGGCTCTGGCCTTGGAGGGCACGGGAGGTGGGGTCTGCCCAAAGTCCAGGATGGGCTTGGCCTTGAGTGCAGTGAGGGCTCAGCAGTGCCCCCAGACCCTGGGTCAGGGGGTTGTAGCTGGCAGTTATAGACAGGCTGGTGAGGATGCCTGTGAAAAGAACACCTCCATCACTGCTCTGGGGGTAGTACAGGAGACAGAAGAATTCCCTGGCACTGGTCCAACTCGGTATCTACTGCTGACCAATTTTGTGCTCTGTGCTCCCTAACTCATCAGATCAGCTAACGGATCCCTTAAGATCAGCTGTGTGGAGAAAGAAGCTGTGGGTGTCTGAGGCCCCTGGCCAGGCTGCCCTGAAGGGTTTGCAGTGCCCATGACTGCTCTTTGGTCACTGCTGTTAACACCCTGTCTCTGTTGCTTTGCAGGAACCAGAGATGCCTGCGAAAACTAAGTCAAGTAGCTCCTCTTCCTCCACATCCTCCTCTTCTTCCTCCTCTGATGAAGAGGATGAAAGTGACCTGGAAGCAAAGAGAGGTCCCCGCAGCAGAGAGACGCACCCAGTGCCACAGAAGAAAGCTCAGATCCTGGTGGCGAAGCCTGACATGAAAGATGCTTCCAGGAAGAAGCGTGGGCGGAAACCTCTTCCCCCGGAGCAGAAAGCAGCTCGAAGGACTGTGAACCTGCCAAAGGTGCTGAAAACATCCCGGAAGGAGGTGGGGGGCAGTGCCAAGCTGGTGGGGAAGCTGCAGCCCCAGCACAGCACACAGGGCTCAGGCATGGCCGTGCTGAAGGACCCAGCAGGTGCCTTGGCTGGGCTCAGCTCAGGAGGATCATCAGCAGAAAACCTGCCCAACATGATGAAGAGCGGCTCGACAAGCCCCAGCCAGGCCATCAGCTGGCAGAGCTCCATCGTGCACTACATGAACAGGATGTCCCAAAGCCAGACGGCAGCTGAGAGCTCAGCGCTGGGCAGGCTGGCACTGAAGGCACAGGCAGCCAGTAAGAGCAGCTTAGGGCTGGACTTGAAAATGAGGAGCCAGAAAGGCTCTGGGGAGCTGGGGCTCAACGTGCAGGGACCCAAGACTGCAAAGGCTCCCGGCAGTGGTGCCGGAGGAGACCAGAAATCAGGGTTTGCTGTAGGAGGCCAAATGCTGCCCAACGGCAGCAAGACACCAGCGAGCTCATCTGGGGCCGGCCTCCAGCCAGCCTCCAGCCAGGAGCTGAACCTGCAGGCTCTGAACCTGCAGAGCGTCAAAAACGGGCCGAGCGCGGCCGGCGGGAGCAGCCTCCCCGGCACCTCTGCGGAGCCCTGGCCAAGGGCTGTGGCGGCGGCGCGGCCAGCGTGGGTGCCAGCGGTGCCAAGGGCGGGGTGGCGGGCGCCAGGCTGGCCGCTGCCGGTGCGCTCGCGGGCGGGGACGGCACCAAGAGCAAGAAGCAGACGCACCGAGCGGGTGACAGGGACTCGGCCAAAGGCGGCACGGCCGGCGCACAGGAGGGACACGCGACCACGGAGAACCGCAAGCCGTCTGCCCTGTCCGAAGTGAGCACGGGCGAGGACACCAGCTCAGATTCAGACCGGGACTCGACTTCCTTCCCGGGTGTGGGTCAGAACATGTCTGTCTCCATCCAGACCAGCCAGGACTGGAAACCCACCCGCAGCCTGATCGAGCACGTCTTTGTCACCGATGTCACTGCTAACCTGATCACAGTGACGGTCAAGGAGTCTCCCACCAGCGTCGGGTTTTTCAACCTAAGGCAATACTGAACCCAGGAGTGTGAGAGGAGGGAGAGGGTCCTTCAACCTCACCCTCAGCTTTGCCCAGCTCTTCCATCAGGTTTCCTTTCTTCAAGTGAATGTGGAGACCTCGTGAGACCTGCTGGGACTCATATCTGGAGAGGCTTGAGAAAGACGCAGTGAAACCTGCTCCGAACTGCCAGCGGGTCATGGATCCCCCCAACTCCTCTCCATCCTTTTCTGAAGCCGTGCCCTGTGTGGGGGTAGCCAATGCCATTCTCCAGGAGCCGGGGCACTGGTGCTGCTGGGGGAGTCAGGCTGACAAGTTTTGAGCCAGGCTTCACTGCGCACAGGTCTCTTTGCTTTACAGCTTCAAACAGCAGATGCCAAGGTCTGCAGCTCACTGGCCGCAGGGAGGTGTGGAGCTTCCATGGGCCAGGCTTACACCTGGGAGAGGAACAGGAGATCCTCTTCTGTCCTTTAGGCTCTCCATGGATCTGTCTGTGAGCTATGGGGAGACACAAGTCAATCCAAATGAGGCAGCTGCTGCTCCCAGCCCTTGGGGCTGTAGGGGGGTGGCTGCATTTGGGGGTTTTTCAGGGTATGCTCAGCCCAGCCACCCCCCTGGGCAAGGTCATTTCCAATGATGGGAAACCCACAACGTTTCTGTTGAGGTTTCCAACTGATAGGGAAATACTGTTTACATTTTTTCTTAAGGAAAAAAATCTCCTTTTTTTTTTTTTTCTGATGAGGGAGGGAAATAAATCCAGTCTAGGATAGGCTGAGTCCTGGATGCCACTAACGAGATGAGCAGCAGAGGTGCTTCTTTGGAGGGTACCCCCTTTCTGCCCAGGGAGGGTCCTTTTTTGGAACCAGAGAGATCCACTGGCTTCCCTACAGTGACTTGATTTCCAGAGGAAAGTGAATTTCTGGGCAGCCCAGGGAGCCTCTGTGCCACTTCTCTGTCTCATCCCAGCATCGCCATTGTCTCTGTCCTCTCAGCAGTTTCCAGGCACTCGTAGGCACCGAGCGGGAGAATATTGTTTAAGTCTTGCAGAACGTGCAAACCCTTCCAGCAGTAGGTAGGTCAGTGCTGGGGCTGCTGGGCACCTGTGAGGTTGGTGCTGTAACTTGGGCAGAGCCAGGGACGAGTGAGCCTTCCCCACCATAGCCCAGCTAGACCTGCCTTGGCTGCTCCCTGGGTTAGATTTACACTGATCATCCATGTTTTTCCTCAGATGGAAGGCTCAGAAGCTGGTCAAGGCCATCTGCACAGGTGGGGTGGAGCAGTGGGAAAGGGAAGGAGAGGACAGGGAGAAGGATCAGGGCCAGCAGGTACCTCGGGCCGCTGTTCTCTGAGGACCTGAAGCACCTCAGCAGCTGTTTGCCTTCTCTTTACTGTCCCAGCAGCTGGGATGTTCCTTTTGGCTTGTAATTGCATCCAGTAATGGCTTTTTCACTGCAGTATTTTCCCTACTGCAGATTTCTACAAGCCAAAATTAGCAGCAGTTCAGGCAGAGTTTAGTAGTATTCGAGGTCATTTTAGTTCTGTTGATGCTGAGTTCTTTTCTTGGAGGCCATGAACAGCTGGTGGCTGCTCACTGTCCTGCGTGGTTTGGAGGTCCCCCCAAAGGGTTGTCCCACCAGGGGTCACCAGAACATTGACCTGGCACCAGGACAGGCATTTTCCTTTGCCTCAGGCAGGGCCACTCACAGTGTCCTCACACACAGGAGTGACACATGGACCAAACTGGGTGTACAGGTACTTCTGACCCCCACCCCTGGCACAACCACCCCCCGCCAGTCACGGCTGCTGCCACTGGCTGGCAGCGGGGTCATTCTCAGGTGAAAGAAACACTGCCCTGCTGGTCAGGGGATGGCTGGATGGCTGTTCCCTGAGCGCTGGCTGCAGGCTCTGCCTGGGCGGGCTCCTGTGCTCCAGAATGCTCTCCCTCCGCTTTTAGATTTAATCCCCAGCTGTCCTGTGGGTTGTGGTTTGATTTTTTTTTGTGCTGTGGAGCTGAGCATGGTGTGATGCAGGGCAGGTGGAGGCAGATGGTGCCTCACTGCAGGACCTGTACAGGTTTCTCAGGCAGCTCCAGCTCTGCCTCGGCACAGCCTTGAATGTCCCCTGTACAGCCTGGGGCAGGGGACACACAGCCCCCAGCACCACACTGTGCGTTGTTCTGTGAGGGAAGGGGCTGAGCGGAGAGAAGGGAACATTGGCCATGAAGGAGGTTCCCAAGGACAGTTTCTGTCAAGCTGCACGATGCCAAAATGTCACAGTCTGTGCTGTTTACCTTCTAGTCTTTTACTCTGCCAAACGACCTCCAAGGAAGCCTTGTCCTGTGTCAACAGAAACCAGTGTCCTGGGCATGGTCTGTACTGGGCTCTTGTGCTAGGGATACGAGTGTTCTGGGAGTAGAATCAAGGAATCTGGAAGTGCAGGGGTGACACTCTGCCCCACACACCAAATGTTTGCTACTTGGCCTTTGCAAATCCAAACTGATCAATGATGTGCCTTTTGGACCGTCCTTATCTCAGCCTTGTCTGTGACACCGGTCCCACGACAGATTTGTGCCTATGCAAAGCGGGGTGGCTGCAGGGTCCTAGGGACATTGATGCCCGTGGGGAGAGGTGTCCTGGTCCCCAGTGAGACACCCGGCTGTCTCACAGAGCCCTGCTGAGGGACACCTGCGGAGGGGAAGCCGACCCAGAATGGGTGCTCTTGCCTACAGCAATAGGATGTGGAGATTGGTTTTCCCAAGGGGGAAAAAACATCTGAGGATGCTCCAAGAGGGGGTCAGACCCCAAGCAGCTATGGAGGGGGCAGGAGATGAGCTGTGAGAACGGGTGCTGTGCTGGCTGCATGCCAGCTCTGAGCTTGCCGCTCCCTCCAGAGCCCTCATCAAAGCCCCCACGTGTTTCTCCATGTGGGAGCTTGCTCCTGCCTCCTGGCTGGACAAAAGGTCGCTGGGCCTGAGCTTGTGCCCAGGGGTATCCTGGCAGCAAGCGGCCCCTCCATTACCCACCCTTCCTAGGTAGGTCCCCTTCCAGCAGCGCGGGACTCTGCTGTGATCACTTGCTACTGTGCCTTTTGCTGACCAACTGGTTCAATTCCAAAGGTCTAAGGATGGTGAAAATGATAATCCAAGATTTTTTCTGACCTTCATCTCCCCCCATGTTTCTTCCCTAAAGCCTTCCTGAGTGGGTGTTCCAGGTTCTCCCAGCAGTGCTGGGGTGTCTGAGTACACGGTTCGCATTGGGGTTTGCCTCCCAAAGGCTCATCATGCGAGTGATTTATTGGAATATTTTGTGGACAGGGATTGGAAGCTGGTGCAGTCCCCGGTTTGCACCAGGGTCCATTAGGATTCGAGGTGTACTTGGTTTTTTTCCCCCTTTTTTTTTGAGTTTGCTGCTATGGGTTGGTGTGTTCAGCCAGGTATCAGACAGGCAATTAAAGGTTTGTCACTTGTCATTTTCTAAGGGGTTTCCGATGTGGAAAGTCCTTCAGTATTTGTATATTGAATGGCTATTTTCTCCAGGCGTAATCTGGTTAAGCATCCTTGTTGTTTTCCATTGGACTGGAAGAGGTGGCTGATTCAGCCATCTTCCCAAGAAACTGAGTCTATTTTTATATATATATTTTGTACCAAAAAAATACCTGGAGTACATGGAGAGATGGAGATAGTTTAGGGGTTTGGTTAGTGTTGAGTTTCTGCGCTGGTGTGTGCCTGGGTGTGAAGGGCTCCAGAGCCAGGAGAAGGGGTTTACTGGCAGAAATTGAGGGATGGGTGAAAACAAACAATTGTTCTTGTAACTTGTGCCAGTCACTGCTCTGATTTGTACGTTTTAATTAAAGAGAGAGCCAAATCGGTCCTGTATGACACTTATAATTGCTTTAAACTGCAGCTGTTTGTTTGCTTTTATTTTCCAAGAACAAAAGTCGGAGATGTTATTGCCCTGGGAAAGCATGAGGGCTGTGGGAGCAGGACCAGCACCCGGCCCTGCTCCCTCCACAGCCTCCCGGCCCCTCCTGGCCCCTCGCTTGCGTTCTCTGTGCTGTTTTCCAGTGTTCCTGGACGCTAACGCTAGTGTAGCCCCCCAGCTCTAGGCTGCTTTTAATTTATTTGCAGGAAAACACTAGGAGACGGTTACGTCGGGTGGGGACTTTTGTATAACTTTTCCACTGTTCTTTTTTAGCATATCAATAAATATTTTCTTAAACTTTTCAGCCTCGTGTGGTCACTGCTCCGGGAGTGCCCCCGCCCCCCTCCCCGGGCATCGCCTGAGGCCACCCCCTTCCCGGGACACCGTGCTCTCGGCCCGGACAGCCGCGGGGCCCCGGGATGGGGATGTGCGAGGCAGGGGCGAACCGGAGCGGGGGAACCCCCCTTACTTCCCTCCGGGGGTCCGGGCAGGACGAGGCCCCTCCTGGCCCCGGGCTCCCGGCTGGAGTTGCGTCTGCACCGCAGGGTTTTCACCGCTCAGGTGTTTCTCGCCGATCCTCCGGGACCGGGACCCGCCGGGGTTCGCGGGACGCGCCTGGCCGGCCTGGCCTACGGAGGGCGCTGCGCGGCCGCGGAAGGGCGCGGGCGGCTGCCCCGGGGCTCCGCCGTCGGGGTTGCCGTCGGGCGGGAGCTGAGCCCCGGCAGCCGAACGCCCCCCGGCCCCACGCCCACCTCGCGGGGCCCCGCGGCCCGTGTGAACGGGCCCCCCCGCCGGGCCGGGGGAGAAAGGCGCCATTGTGCGGCCCTTCCTCCCGCTCCTCGGCGGCGCTGGCAGCTCCCGCGGCGCGGGGTCCGCGCCCCACCCGCCCGAGCAGAAAAAGGAGGTTAATGAGGACACGGCTTAAAAACCCACCAAACCCCCCACCCCCCGGCTGCGCGGCCGGGGCGGGTTTGCACACAAAGGCCGAGCTCTCCGGGCAGGGGCCGCCGCACCGCGGCTCGCCCCGTCGGAAGGGCAGAGCGCCGCGGCCCGGGGCAGCGCCGGACCCGGCCCGGTACCGGAGCGGCGTGGGAGCGGCTGCCCCGGTGCTGTTCCTCGGACGGGAGTCACGGCTCCCGCCACCACCTCCTCCGGACAGCGCGGGACCTCTGGGGGGGGGCCCGGCCCGGTGTCACCTGCGTTCAGGGGCGCCCCCGACTCCCCCCATCCCTTCGGGTCCCGGCCCCAGGCCCTTACAACCACGACTCCCTGTACGGAGGGGGGATACAGGGCCACCCGTCCCATCGGGGCCCCAGCACACACCACACCATGTTCCCGGGCACCCCCCCGGCCACACAGACCCCCTTACCCCGGGACCACAAAGGGAAGCCAGACACATTTCTATTTACAAAGTATATATTTAAACTGACATAAAAAGCAGGTCTCATATGGACATTCACGGCTGGCAGAAGACACGTAGTTAAGCTTCACTTCTGAGACTGAGATTTAGCCAAATCGTTTTTGTACAAGTCTTAGATTTAAATAATTCACACACACACACCCGCACGCACACACGCAGGGTACACGTCGCTATGTACAGACACACATATACACCCACAGGTACGGTTTGCTCCAGCTGTGTCGGGACACACACGGACACGGGGCAGGAGCAGCTCCGGGCTCTGCAAAGGGAAGGATCCTCCGGCTTTGGGGGCAGCGGGAGGACAGGCAGCTCAACCCCCTCATCATCCTCCAACACCACCCATGTCCCATGTCGGCACTGGCAGCACCTTGCCTCTTCGCACAAACCAAGTTAAAAATCTCAATTTTACAAAATATGCCTTAAAAAAAGAAAGAAAGAAAGAAAAGAAAAAAGGAAAAGCAAACTGAATTCTCAGACACTAGGGCTCCCTTTGCGCAGCCAGTCCAGCATCCTCCTGCCAGGCACCTCATGGGTCCTGAAAGGATGGGGAAGGGGACCGGACAAGGTGGAGCCGCCGATGCGCCCCAAAGTGAAGGGGTGCCCCTTGCCCAGCCCCTTCCCCACTCTCAGACTCCCTGGTGGTCACTCCCTGTGAGCCCCCTGAGCCAGGGGCTGTCAGGAGCCCAGGAACAAAGGGAACCTGGCCCAGTTCAGCCCTCAGGCGCTGCCAGGTTTGTGCTTCCCATCTGACTGATGCCCAGAGCAAGGTGTCGGGACAGGGTCACCTGCCCCACCTCAGCCAAACCACACGCTGGGCAGGGTACCACTCTCCCCTCTGTGCCACGCTGTGGCCGAGCTGGGGAGCAACAGAGCGGGGGCTGCACCCCCCACCAGCAGGGAAACTGCTGCACCTCGTCCAGGGCCATGAGACCCTCCCTGCACCAGCTGGGGAAGAATCACAGTTCCAGGAGGAATCCCACAGGCAAATCCAGCAAAAAATCCATCCAAGCCGGCAGGGCTGCTCCACACGGGAATATTTTGCCTCTTGGCTATTGTTTAACCAGCATAAGGAAAGGGAAATATTTATTGTCTCTGAATGCATAAAGGTGGCTCTGGGATTTGTCAGGGATGTGGGTATTACAAAACACTTTATCGGGAGTCTTGCAACAGTCTGAAGTAAACTGTGATTGGGAATAAAAATAATAATAATAATAATCCACTTTCTATAGCAGAATAAAGTAACTAAATATGGGCAGTGAGATGCTCCCTCCCCAACCTCTCTGGCATTTCAGGAATGTAAACAGAGGGGGGTTTTGTTGGGGTTTTTTTGTTTTGAGTGGGTGGGGGAACAGAATCAAGCGACCAGACAAAATGAAAACAGATTCTCAGCTCAGTCCCATCTCCCACAACTGCTACGACAACTCTATTAAAGTGCATTTCAGTATCACTCCTCAGGAACCTTACACACACAGACCTCCTCTCCTCCGCAAGAAAAGGGAATTCAAGTTAATACTCCAACACTTTTAGCCTTTTTATGGATTTCTGCTTTTCCCCGCCCCGACTTTGTAGCAACATTACTTTTTTTGTTAGACTGGAAACGCCCCATCCCCAACAACACTGTGAATTCAAGTGCTCACGTCAACTGTCAAGGGCAACAGTTCTGGACACAGCACACTTGATTGTACAAGCAACACCTTAAATCACAATCAAGAAATCCGGGCACTTCGCCCTCCGAGGGAGCAACACGTCCCCCTCCACCATCCATAGCATCATATGAAAAATAATAGTTAAAAAAACCCAGCACATACTTAGCTATGAACACCGTTATGTACACCGGCTCCTGTGGCAGATGCGTGAACTCGTTAGTTCTCAGTTTTATTGTCCTTTCAAGGAGCAACTGAGCAGTCACTGTTGTCTCCATTTAAATAAAACAACTCAGAGTTGAAATATATATATATAGATATATATAAGCATTTTTTCTTAAATAACATATTTACATCTAATAGAAAATATAACTCTAGAGATAATCTTTCCAACGAAATGTAAGACGTGAAAAAAAAAAAAAACCAAACAAAAACAAAAGAATGAGTTAATGAATTTAGGACAGTTTCTAAATTCTCTCCAGGACCAAAAACAAAAGAAAAAACAAAAGAAAAAAATTTTAAAGGAAAAAAAAAAGAATTAAAAAAAAAAGAGAGGCCCACCAAGCTCTAACCAAGATTTTGTCTGGATCTGACTGAAGAAAACCCCAGCACCACCTCCACCAAACTCATCGCTTCTCCTTAAAGAATCCTTGGTCCGTGCTGCTCTCCTTGATGGTGACGGTCAAAAAGTTAGAGGTCACATCAGTTACCACCACCTTCTCCAGGTTGTTGAGAGAGGGGCTCCAGGACTCCTCCTCGGGGTCCCCCAGGATCCTGGAGACAGGGATCCTGGCGATGAGGGAGGGCCGCCCCGCCGGGCCCCCCACGCCGTCGCGGTACAGGCTGCCCACGCTGCCCGGGCTCACCGCGCTGTGCAGGAGCTTGGGCCCACCGGGGTCCAGCCCCCCCTGCCCCTTGGGGTCCAGAAAGTCCGCGCGGTGCTTGGCCAGGCGCGGGGGGAAGGTGTCGGTGCCCGCCTCGGCGCGGTTGGGGCCGGGCAGGGCGCCAGGCAGGTCGGGCTCCTGCCGCCGGGCCAGCTGGATCACGCTGTGTCCCGAGCCAAACTTGGCCGCCCCCGTCGCCGCCTCCTCCATCTTCCTGGCCTTCAGGTAGTCCCCCACCTTGTCCCCCGGGTCCCCCAGTTTCCTCTTGGAGGCATCCAGAGTCTCCGCCAGGTCCTTGTAAAGCTCCTTCCTGGGCTTCGGGCCTCTCTTTTTGGGGGTCTCCCCAGGTTTCTCCTCCACGCGGATCACCCGGTCCCGGATGCTGTCTCCCTTGGGGGTGCTGGTGCTGGAGCTGCCCTGGGGGGCCAGGGCTATGTTTCTCAGTCCTTCCCTAGCCCGGGACGTGGAGCCCAGCTCCTGGGGGGACCTGCCGGGATATGGCACCCGGATCCCCCTGGAAGAGTCACTGCGGAATTCATAGGTTTTGGCTTTGGCTTTTGCCTGGGCCTGCAAAGAAGATAAATCACCCGGTGACTTTATTATCCTGCCATCCGGCTGCGTAATTACAACTTACAAGAGGCCACCTTCGAGGGGAGCATCCTCCAAAGGGGCCCGAGAGAGCCCCCCGCTCTGGCACGCAGCCCTCACGTGTGGGCTCCAGCCTCCTTACCTTTAGCAGGAAGGTTTTGGGCTTGGGGCCTCGCTTTTTGGGCCCGTAAAGCTCCATTTCTCGCTCCCTAGAGGTGTTAAAAGAACCAAAGCTTCAATTCAGCATAGCTACAAGACAGCAACATATTTACAAGCACAACTGCTACAGCTCGTAAAGGCCTTGTACCTCTCCTCGAAGGCTGCAAGCAGCCGGGCATCCAGGATGTTTTCCTCGGGTTCCCAAGTGCTGTACCTGGGGGGACACGGAGAGAAGGAAGAGCATGAGGAGAGCCACGAAGGGACAAGATAAATAAAAAAACAGGGGCATAAAAGGAGGGACCCAGTTCGCGTTCTGGCACAAAGGGGGAGGGGGGTGCAGCCAGCATCCCCCCAGACCCTGCTGCAGGCCCCACCGCCCCATGGCGACTTACTTCTGCGACCAGCCCTTCCATTTGACCAGATATTCCATGCGGCCCTGCGGATGGGAAGCGAGGAAAATAAATACGTGTGGAGCGAAAACCGCGATAAAACCGCCCCGCAACAAAGGTCCCCTGCAACGCCCCACGCAGGGAGCGGAACACGGGGAGGAGGGGGCCGTCGGGAGGGGGGAAATGCAACAATGAAAAATAACGCGGATTTAACACAACACACACCCCCCCAGGGCGCGGATTTAACACAAACCCCCCCATGCGCGGGGCGCGGAGGGCGGGAGCGGCGGAGCGGAGCCCGCCCCGCGGCGGAGGGAGACAGAGCCGCCCGCAGCGGGCCGGGGCCGGGGCGCGGGAGGCCGAGGGCGCGGCGCGGGGGGGCGCGGGGGGCACCTACTTTGCGGATGCGGCGCTTGAGCAGGGCCTCGGCCGCGAAGACGCGCTCCCCGACGGCCGAGAGCTCCATGTTTACGCGGCCGCTCGCAGCGCAGGGGCGGCCCCGGCGCAGCCCAGACCATAATACTCCGCCCGCTGACGTCACCGAGGCCCCCCCGCGCCGCCGCCGCCGGAGCCGGGTGGAATATTCCGCCCGCGCCGCATTGGCCCCGCCGCGCCCCGCCCGCCGACGTGCGGCGCGTCCCGATGGCCGCGGGGAGGGACCCGCGCCGGGCACGCCCCGGGACGCGCCCCGGGACACGCCCCGCTCGGGGGGGCGGCCCCGGGGGAGCGGGAAGGGTCGCGGAGCACAAAGAGGGGATCTGGGCAGCGGGACGGGGTGGGAGGGGTTCCCGCAGCTCCGCGGACGGGGCGGAATGTGGGACCCGCAGCCTCGGGGACGGGTAGGGGGGTTCCGCGGCACCTGGACGGGGCGGACTGGGGGGTTCCGGGACCCGGTGCGGGGCCGGTGGTCAGACAAACGGAGAGGTGGCGGGGCGAGGGGCGCTCCGGCGCCAAACGCCCGGCCCGGTAACGGCGGAGCCCGCGGTGCCGCGGACCCTTCCTCGGACAGAAGCGGTCGCGCGTGCCAGCGGCCCCACGCAGAATTTGATCCATCTCCCGCGTTACCTGTTAGCAAACTGGTGGGAATGCGGGTGACACTGCGAGGTTGCGAGCCGGTAGCGGGTCCCCATGGGCCCCCCCTCACCGACTCTGCCTCTCGTCCCGCCTCGCTGCGCCCCGCACGAGAACCATCGCCTTCTCCCCGAGGCGGCCACGAAAGAACGGGACACGCGTGTCGGGGCGGCGAGTCGGGGGAAATGGATGCAGCCTCTGTGGAACGGAGGTCTCATGGGACCGGTTTTCGCCCGCAAGCGGGCAGTGTTAAAATTCGCCCCCCGCGCCGTTCAGGGGGAGGGCCCGGGGGGGCTGGGTAGCCCTTCAGCCCATTCCCGCTGAGTGAAACGGTTTTCGTGTCCGTGGACAGCGCCGTGGGTGGGTGCTACCCCGAGGGTGGGACCCGCAGCACCACGGCGCAGTGTTGAGTGGGCTCCAACTGCCCCTTCCACGCGTGACAAGACCTCTCGTGGATCTGCCCCTCCTTCCTGCCTCCGTCTCCCCTTCCCTAAGGAGCTCCAAGCCAAGGAGCAGTGGGACTTGGTGGCCGCCGCGCTTACGCGTGGGAGAATCACGGCGAGAGTGGCGCCGGGGATCCAGCTGCGCCTGCCTTCCAGTAAATGAGCCCACGGCTGTGGGGAGCCCCGGGCCACGGGGTCCACCGGGACCGGCAGCGGGAACCTCGAGGAGCGTTGTTTCTCGAGGGCATCCTCCCTGCCGCCGCATCACACGGGCGGGCAGGGATCTCCAACGGCGGACACGCGTGGGGCTCTGGGACCCGCGGGGAGCATTGACAAGTGGACCCCCACGGCCCCACACGGGACTCGGGAGGTCGTGGGTCGGTCTCAGTGGGCAGATCCCTCCTGCCACCTCCCCCGGCCGAGGTGAAACTGCGCTCACAGAAGGAGGCAGGAGATTCCCATTCCACGGCTCCCGTGGATTCTCACACCACGCTTGCAACCCCGCCGTCACGGGAGCCTCCCCACTACGCGGGTTTTTGCGTGGCTTGGCGGGGCCGAGGGGGAGAGCAACCCCTGCGCTCTCCCGGACCACGGCGAGCTGCGTCCCGAGAAGTTTTTCGTTAATGTCAAATTACTCTTTGTTAATTAAGGCTGTTTGCGGGGTGACTCATGAATCGGCATGGATGCAGCGGACAGGATCCCGTTACCGAGAAGCTGCCGCGCAGAGGAGAGACCCGGCGGTACCGGGTGCAAGGTCCAGCGGGGGCGGGAGGCGGGGAACGGGAGCGGATCGTGACCCCCCGGCCCGACCGGTGCCGGCGCCGCCGTCTCGTCCGCTGCTCGGGGCTCCCAGGGCAGCGTTTGCGGAGGAGCAGAGGCGCCCATCCCCGTGGCCGTGGAGCTGCTGGAACCCGCGGAAGCTGGTGTTTGTCCAGCACCGTGGCTACCGGTGTCCCTCTGCAGGTGGGAACCGCAGACCCGGGCCGAGTTTCCCCGCACCGGCGCCACACGGGAGCCCCGAGGGTCTGCGGATCTCCCGACTGAGCAGCCGCCTCTGCCTCGTCGCCTGTGACGAGCTACGCGGAGCCCCACGGCCACGCGTGAGTGTGGAGAGCCGAGAGGCCGCTGTTCCGGCTGCCTCACGTGCGGGCGTCAGTGGAGGAATAGCTTCCTCCTCCCGCTGTAACCCACGCGGGACCCGCGAGGAGCCGGGGCTGCGCCCCCGCTGCGGAGCGGGGGGGCAGGGACAAGGCGAAACGTAAACGAGAATGGCACAGAAAAAGCAGCGCGGAGCGGCCGCCGCCGCGTGGGAACCGGCCGGAGCCCCAGGGCGTGGATGGGTCGGGTCCGGGGCTGCGGCCGCTCGTGGGGGTCTTGGCTCGGAAGGAGAAGCGGGACGGAGCTGTCCCGGCGCCGCGGGATGAGGCAGCGGCGAGCGGGACCGTCCTCGGCTCCGCCGGGCAGTTCCTCCCGCTGCGGGAGGGAGTCCGGGAACCCCTCGCCCGGGGCCGGCGCTGCGGGGGTCCCTCCTGCCCGGTCGGGCCAACGGAAGCAGCAGCGGAGCCAGGGCACGGGCCACCCTCCAGGCTCCCGAGGTCAGCGTCAGGGGCTGCCCGGGTGCCCCACGGGCTCTCGGCCGAGGGGGCCGCTCGCCCCCGCGTCTCCACCGCCCACGCAGACAGCGGCCAGGTCTCTGGGTCCCGGGCTCGGTGCCGACCCGGGGACAGCTTCGGCCCGGCGAGGAGGTGTGCCGGCGAGGCAAACCCCATTTCTGCCCGTTTGACCCCAAATCCACCTCTCGGCTGCCGAGTCTCCACTCCTCCAACACGCACTCGTGAGATGAATTCCTCGGGGCTCAGCGGGCCGCTGCGGAGCAGAGTTCCTGGCTCCCTCCTCGTTTCTCACTGTGCGGGGTTTTCCACGGTCACGAGTTTTGCAACGAAACCGGGGGGCTGCCGCCCCTCCCAGTGTCGCGCGTGGGGCGGCGGAGCGAGCACGGGTGTCCGAGCGCGGCTGAGCCTGGAGCGGTGGGGCGGACCTGGCTCCAAACCAACACCGGCACCATCGATGCCCGCGCTGCAGCCGGGCATTCCCCCGCGCCTCCCGTGCACTGCAGTGACCGTGCTTCAGAAGCTGCTCCGTCCCACGGCCACCCGCGGTAGGACGTTAGGATCCAGCCCAGCTCCCGAACCCGTTCTCCGGGTGGCCGAGGGTGCCGATGCCCCTCGTATATCCGTTCATGCCACAGTCGCGCTCCACTGTGTCGACAACCCTTCTCGTGGGCGACCCGAGCACGGCCCCCACAGTGGGACCACCGGGAAGAACGGGGGCAGAGCAAGTCGCCCGCCGGCAGAGCCCCAGCGCTTGCCCGCCCCCGAACCGACCCCGCGACCGGGGTAGCCCTCGGGACCCGGGAAAGGCATCCTGCTGCCCGGGTACCGACGGGTAGCGTATAGCGCGCTTCGGAGCCCCATTCCACCCGAGTTCCCTGAATGCGTGAATAACCCCACACACACTCGGGGCGGTCGGCCCCGAGTTCCCGGTGAGCCCCGCCGCCCGGTTCGGCTCTGGGTGTTTCCCGGTTCGGTTCCGTCCCCGAGCCGTGCGGGAAAACGATTCCCTCCACTGGTGGATGAATGGAGCCGAGAGGAGCCTCGGGCAAATTCACGCTCCCCCGAGCCGGTACCAGGCTGTCTCGACGGGTGAGAACGGACCTGGGACACCGCAGCATCACCGGGCCCCCCCCGGTCCACAGCCTTTTCCGGGACTGGGGGTGCAGCCCGCACCCCGGGACGCTGCCTTTTCGTTTCCGAGCAGCTCGGGGATAATCGGGGAGGCAGAGACTGGCTCCGAGCTGCGGCACCGGCATCCCAAGGTGCCGCTGGGGATGCTGCCGGGAAGCTCGCAGGTAGCCGGTGAGGGGAAGGGAGATCTCGGGGGTTCCCGTGCAGTGGCATCCGCGCGGGGCTGCACCAGCCCCGGAACTCCCGTGTAAGTTTTCGTGTCAAGGTGCTTGGCATCGAATTCATGACCGGGCAGGGCTTCCTCGGCGGCTGCGGAGGCGACGTGGAGACGGAAGGCAGCGTGCCCCGGTGGGTCGACCCCTGGCACGGCTGCTGCCCCTTCCCCGGGGACCGGAGGGGGCTGGCGGGGCCGTAGAGAGACCTCTGTGTGGCCGGACCCAGGAGAGTGAGAGGATGCCGGCCCCGGGGACTGTGACGAGCACCTGAGCAGAACAGCCTCTCTCCGCCCCGCCGGTCGTTATTTCCCGGTTACCGGGGCCTTGGCTAGCCGGTGAAGCGACCGCTCCGAGGAGGTGCAGCCCAGCGCCGAGGCCGGTCCGCAGTCGGGCCCCGCCGCCGCCCCAGGACCGAGCCGAGCATCTTCCCCGGGGCAGGCGGTAACTGAGGGACAGTGGCGGCCCTGCCGACCGGGGCAGCCAAGCCCCCTCCGACACCTCCCGGCCCGGCCCGGAGAGCGGCTCGTCTCGACGGTGCCGCACGGAAACGCTGACCTTCCCGGCGCGTTCCCGCCGGCGCGGTGAATTCCAGGTGCTTTCCATAGGTGGCACCGTCCTCCTGGAAATGGCGGTTGCAGTCACCGCGCAACCGGTGGCGTTCCCGCCACCCCCGGGGGGCACTGCCGCCCCCTCCGCCCCGGGCAGGCCCCCAGCATCGAGGGTTCAGCAGGGCAGAAACCCCCCCGCACCGAGAGTTCAGGAGCGCCCGCAGGAACCCCGGGAGCTGTGCCAAGCTCCGCGACCCCGGTACAAAGCGCGGGGTGGGGTCCCCTCTGCGGTCCCGACGGGGGAGAGAAGCTGCCGTTCTCTCCCGGAGCACAGATCCACGAACGTTCGGGTAGTCGGTCTTCCTCGTGGGAGCGGCTCATGCGTGTCCTGCAGTCCTCTGCTCCCGTGTGTCTGCCGTGCCCCCGAGCCCACTGCTCCGGCGAGGAGCGCCCACGGAGCCCCCGATGGCAAAGCGCCCGCTCCCCGTTTTCCAGGCGTGCCGACACGCACCGGGAGCCCCTCGTCACCCCCGATGCCGGGGTCACCCCGCTGCAGCTTCGCGGGTCACCCCGAACGCCCCAGGCGAGGAAAGCGCCGCTCCCGGGACCGGAGGGCGCCGTTTATCACCCGCTCCAGGCTGCGAGGGCTTTGCACAAAAGACCTTTTGTTCCCGGGGGTTCTGAATTTGCTCATTATTTGTAGGAACATAAACACGAGCTGTTTGCGGAGGGGGAGAGGGAGGAACCGGCCCAAGTGCGGCGTGGGGCGAGGAAACGGGAACGTTCCGGGGTATTCCTGCACCCCGTGTAGCCGGTGCGGCTCCGTCCCACCGGCTGCTGCCCGCGCCGGGGCCGCGCTGCTCTGCCCGCAAGGACGGCAGAAGGACGGACCTGCTCCTTACAGCGGCCACGGGAGCGTCACGAGTGGGCAGGGGCCGGAGTGGGATGGAGCGCGGTGCGGCGGCCCCGCCGGGGAGATCTGACTCGGGATGTGACAGATGAGACGAGGTGCAACCGCGGCCGCCCGGGGCTGCCGCTACCCCTGTCCTACACCCTGCCCGGCTCAGTCCTGCCTCCGTCCCTGCCCGTTCCCCTCCCGTCACCGCCCTTCCCGCGACTCCGCTTTTAACAAAAGCAATTAGAGGTGAAGCGCTGCTCATTTGCGTTCCACCTAATGACCGGAGGCGGGTTCCTCCGGTTGGGGGTGGTCGGCGGCGGCGGGCCCGGTGGGGCGGGGGGCGCGGCCGGGCCCCGCCCTCCCTGCGGCCCCGCCCCGCCCAAGGTAGGCGCTGTATTTAGGTTCATGCCCTTATATGGCGATGCGCGCGGCGCCCCGCGGACGGCGCGCACCATATAAGGCAGCGGCGCGCGGGCCCGGGTGAGCTGGTGGGCGCTGATTGGCCCGCCGGTATCGCAGCAACGGCCCTCGCGGGCGGAACGGCCCCGCGCCCCCCCGGCCGGGACCCCCGGCACACCGGGGGACTCCCGGTGGCACCCCGCCAGCGCGCGCCCCCCGCCCCGACCGGACCCTCGCTGTCCCTTCCCGCCCCGGGGCTCCCGGCCCCCCATCTCGCCGCTGGTGTTCCGTGGGCACCGACGGCACGCGGGAGCCCGCGGCGCTCCAGAAGTGCGGCGGGACCGCCGGTCCTCTGTCTCCGCATCACGGGTCACGGAGGAGGCCGGCCGTCTTCGTCCCACTCGCGGCAGAGGGTCCGGCGGGACTGCGCGCCGGGAAAGCCAGCAGGACGGGGCGGTCCCGCTGCTCCGCCAAGCGGGACCTCGAGTGGGCAGGGGGAGTGGGGACACGGGTGACTTGATCCCCATCTGGGGCACAGACTGGGGGGCTTTGAGGAGGGAGGCATCCGGGTGGGCTACGCCGGGAGAGGTATTGCTGGGAGGCACCGGCGCCCTTCGCACCGTGCGCGGCGGAGGCAGCGGCTTCCGCGCGTGCGGGAGCCACCCGTGATGCGCCCACGGCGCGGCAAAGCGCCTTCCATGTTCAATCGCCAAGGTGTGGAGCAGTCGCAGGGCGACAGGATCTTCCGCTGTCCTGTGGGGAAAGAATCGCCCCGGTCCGGCTCCCACACTCCCGTTTTCGGGACATCCCCTCACTCCGCAGACACCCGCAAAAACCACCGGCGGAGAGCGAACCTCCCGCACGTGTGTCCGCTCCTGCCTCGCGCCCAGACGCTCGGGAGGCTACCGCCGTGACGGGCGGGGGACGGCGACACGGTGCGGGACCCCGGGGTCCAGTTTTCGTTGCGGCTTCGCCGCGGAGCCGGTGCGTGGCCGAGTCGCGGCCGCCCGGCGCCGCGTCCCCCCGGCCCGATTATTTATATGTATTTTATTTTTATTTTATTTTAAACCGAAAGCAAAACCGGGCGCTGCGGGAGCGGCTGCGGGGCTGGGGCTCTTCCGGCGCGGCGGGCTGCGGGGGATGACCGGCCGCCCCTCCACCGCGCCCCCCGGGGTTCGGAGCCGCCGCTGCCCTCGGCGGGCACCGGGCGGGGGCTGCGGGCACGTGCCGGGCCGGCGCTACGGGGCCGGGTGCGATCGGGGCGGGCTGCTCCGCGCCCCCCCGCGTCGCAGGTGAGGCCACGCACCGAGCTCCACCGAGGTCCCACCGCCCCGCGGAGCCTCCGGCCGCCCCCCGCGCCGCCTGCCCCGGGGCTCCCCGGGGGGGCCGGCGGGGAGGGCTGCGCCGCCTCTTCGCCATCCCCCCCCATGGCAGGGTTCAGCGGGCTCCGCCGAGCAGCCATTTTCTGCAGCTGCTTCTCCACCGGAGCTCAGCCGGGCGGCGGGGCCGGGCGGCGGCACAGCCCGCAGGACCCCTGCCCCGCTGCCCTCCGCCGGGACGGGCGCCCCGAGCCGGGTCGGGCGGGGCCGGGGGTGGCCGGGCTGCGCCGCAGGGCTCGCCGTGACAATCCCACCCTTTCCCCGCCATTTTGTTACCGTGCTGGCGTTTTCCCAAAGCAGAGACAGAGCGGGAGCCTTGGGAACGGGCCCCCGTTGTGCCGGGGCGTTCGCGACCCGCGGCCCCGCTCCCTCCCACCCCCGCCGCACCGCACCTGGCGGCGGGGCTGGTCCCGGGACGCGTGGCCACCGCCGGCACCTTCTCACCGGGATTGTCCCGCTCCCCTTTGTGCCCCGCGCACGCAGCACCGAGGGTCATGACTGTCTGAGTCCACGCAGGACCCTGTCACGCGGGGCTGACACCGATCTCCGGGACGCTGTCCCCACGCAGAGGATCCCGGAGCGCGGTCACCAGACTCCCTTGCCGATGGACAGGGAATGCGGGACTGATCGCCTCCCTCCACCCTCCCCATGGTCATCGCAAGTGCCCCCAGGGCCGGGGAAACGTCCCGTCGGGGAGGGTCCGCCGTGGGGCCGTGACGTTAGGCACAGCATTCTTCAGCCTCGCTCGGTCCCGGAGGCGGTCACGGCTCCTCACGGGACCAGCCCAAAAACCCTCGCGGGAAACCCGTGGGGATGGCGCCGGGCACTGCTTGGCCCACGCGAGGCCGGACGCCTCGCCGTGGTGGAGAGCACGACCAGACCGGAGGGAAGGGCGGCGAGGGGCCGGAGGGAGGCGGCCGGGACGAACAGCGGGACAGCACCGGCGGTGCGGGATGGGCAGGCAGGATGGCGGATGCCCCGACGGGGCGGGCCGGTCCTTCCGCCCGCGCGGGGTTTGATGAACGCCTGGTTGACATCAACCAGGGAACCCTGCCGGTGGGTGCGCGTCCCTCCCCCACGGCTGCATTCCCGGGTCGGGGGAGGGGGTCGGATGTGGCACGACGCGGGAGATGCCCCGTGCGAGCGGGAGCCGAGCGCGGCGGGGTCGGTGCGTGCCTCGGGCTGAACCTCCGGAGCTGAGCGGCCGCGGAGGGCGGAGAAGGGAGCGAGGAAGGAGGGGGCTCATGCAGTGCTGCAATGCAGCGCCGCGCCGAGCCCGCCGGCCCGGCCGCGCTCTGCCGCCCGTCACTGCGGCAATGCGGGTGAAAGCCCCACCCGGGCTGGGCCGAACCGACCCGGGCATCCCCTGCCTTGCCGGGGCGCCCTCCACCCCAGCCTCGCCGGGCTGTCGCTGTCCGCCGCTTCCTCGCCCCTGTTTCGTTTTCCTCCCGCCCCTGCCGGGACTTCGGGACGTTTCCTCCCGCGGCGGGAGGAACCGGGACCCGGGTACCCAGGACCGCCCACTCGCCCTGTGTTTGCGGAGGGTGGGCCTTATCCTGCCTCCGGCGCTGGACACCCGGGACCCCCCAACAGCCACCCTGGCCCCTCCCAGAGCCTCGGCTTCTCGCTGCGACTCCCCCGGACGCCGAGATATGCGAAGCCCCCGGTGCTGCTCCGTCCCGGGGAGGATCCTCGGTTTCTGCTCTGCTCCGTTCCAATTTCTCCCGGGGGAATCTTGCCCACCTCACCTCCGGGCCCCCACTCTCTCTATTTCTCCATCTCCTTCCCCCCGTCCCCGATGTCCCTTCCTCGCGGTCCCGCTACAAACAGCGCTGCGGGTCCCCCGTGGGACCCGGGTAGGGGGGTCCCATCTCTGCTCCGCTTCTCCGGGGCTGCCATCTGACTCTTGGACACGCAGCACTGCGGCCGCGCGTGGGAGCACCCGGTAAGAGGGACCCCCACGCCGCAGCCGCTTTCCTGCGCCCCGAGGTGCCAGTGTGCGGTGGGGTGCGGGCAGCGCCCTCGAGGGAAGGGATTCGTCTTTTAAAAGCCACCCATAAAGACAAAAACCCAGCAGGGCACGGCGGATCAGGGGGTACATAAAATATCCGGGTGCGAAGTTTAAGACTGGGGGGGGGGCACTCTAAGCCCCCACCGCCCGCCCTTGTCCAACAGGCTGTGGATCACTCCCCTCACTATTTGCCTCCTGCCGCAGCAGCCTGGGGCTGGATCCAGGGATTCTCTCCCAGCCATGCCAGGCAAACTGGGTTCTGCCCTCCCACCTGGATGTTTTTTTTCTGACGCGGTGAAAATGGCACCGCATTCCAGCTCCAGCTCCTGCCGGTGCGGACTCAGCCACTGGAGCCTGCCGTGTCTGCGTGTACTGAAGAAAATCTCAGCGGAGCCCCTGAATTTCTCCATGGGAGAGGTTTACGGGCTGATAAAAATATACTTAACCTTCCCTTCGGGAGGCCGGGCACCCCCGCGGCTCGCTCTAGGGCTCCCTGAGCCCCCACTCCATCCCTCCGCCTCTCCCCGACTCCTCTCCAATATTTCAGTGTCTCTTTTGAGCTACCGGAGGTTGTTCCATGCGAAAGCGGGCTCACCAGTGCCACACACCGAGCAGTACCATCGCCCGGCTCTGCCCTCGGTCCCCTGCACACACGGGGAACCTTCCTCGGCGGCGGTGCCGTCCCTTGTCCCTGTTCCTCTCTGACCCTCCATGAGACACAGCTCCCGGTGGCACCGAGAGAGCGGCTGCACACGACGGTCCTTGCCGCGGAGATTTGTTGTTTAACTCCTCAGGCAGGGTTGAATGGATGCGGGGGCAGAGCGATCACCGACCGCAAACCCCCCCGTGCTCGCGGGGGGCTCCCAGTCCCCCGGGCAGTTTCAGCCCTTGGCTCATCCTGCCATGGTCCTTCTCCAGGAGCAAGAAAAGGGTCACACTTTGGGAGCACTTTGGAAGCCCACCCTGCCCCGGAGGGGGAAGGTCCCGGGACCCCCCAGGGATGGCTGAGCCCCAAAGCCCCGCACCGAGCGGCTGCCGGGCTGGTTCTCTGCAACAACCCCCGCTCATCGCAGCCCCTTCTGTGACTGAGCATCTCCCAGGACACCGTCCCAGATGCCCCCCAGCAAGTTCCCCACCCTGTGGAACTCCAGCTCGCAGCGGGCTGTGCTGAGCCCACGGCTGGCCGCTCTCAGCCCACGGCCACGGGAGTGCTACTTTCACGGCCCCTGTGGCACCCTCAGGCTCGGCGTTCTGATCTCCCAGCACTTGGGACGTGGCACCAGGCAGCAGTTCTCAGTCACGAGAGGATTGCGGGGGGGGATGGGGCGGGGCGGGGGCACCGTGCAAAGGCAGAACTGCCTTGCCAGAGAAAGAAAGCAGAGTTAAATCTGTCAGCCCGAAAGCAGAGAGACAATGCCACAGTCGAGACTTGTTTGTCACATACTCAGGCGAGAGATGGAAGGAATTCCTGTGATAATGCTCGTCCCTGCTCAGCCGCTGCTGCTGCACCGCAAATTGCTGCTTGCAGCACAAAATATGGAAATGGGATACATTAGATTAGACGCCTTCTTGTTGGGGCTCTGCTCTAGGACTTATTTCTGAGTCCAGAGAGTTAAAGAATCTTCAAGCAGCAAAGCATCAAATCCTGGGAAAGTGGGTCTGCTTCAGGTGGTGGAGCTGCAAAAAGGAAAAACATCAGGAAAGCGGCTACCGTGGAGCCAGTGAAGGATTTTTCAAAGCAGAGAAAGACACCCAGGGAGGGCTCTTCCCACCTCGGGTTAAAAATGGCTCAGGGTCAGGTTGAGCCCTTAAACTCGAGATAAAGAATCATTCCACCAGTCGCCGGGGAGAGGGGAGGCACCGCTGGTGTCCGACCACCGCAGCTTCTTCTCTGCACAACCTACCATGAATTCCCCCGGTTTATCTGTTGGTGGTGACTTCATTTGACAGAAGGACATAGGCAGAGGAAGGACAGTGTCACGGTTGGACCCAGTGCACGTTGCTGATGTTAGAATGACAGCCTGGCTTGCACCGCATGGCAAATGGATGGGTACAGCGAGGACAACGCTTCAGCCTTCATTTTTCAGCCATGTGGAATTACTAACATATGTGAAAATTAACGTTTCCAAGCATATGTGAATATTACCATTTATTTTGTGCTTTGAGATGCTTCGGTGGCTCCTTGATACCGAACAAACCTCCCCTCCCCGAAGCTTGTATTTGGTATTTAAAAGAACCTGACGCTCCATTTTAATTTTTTTTTCTTTCAGAAAAAAATATAAAATATTTCTTTTCCCATGTCCCCGGGACTGTGAGCTCCGAGCAGCTCCCCGAGCTTGAGGAGTCCGTTCCTTCCGAGGCATCGGCGGTGGGAAGGGGCATCCGCCCCCGGGGCGCAGGAGATGGGGCGGCACTAGGATAGGGACCCAGAAATTCAGAGCGCGGAACGCCCCCAGCCCCCATCGTCTGAAACGCGATGCCCAAGCTCTCACAAAGGGCATTTTCAGGGGGTCCGGGCCGCTCTCCCCAGTGCCGAGGCCAAGCGCTGCCCACCCCCCTGCCATCCCCGCGCTCCCCGATGCGGTTTGACGCCCTTTCCCAGCGTGCCGCCCGTGGGATGAGCCCTCCCCGCACGGCACAGCCCACGCCCGCAGCCCGGCGTGGCCATTTTAGCCCGCACTCGCTCCCGCCGCTGCCGCAGCCCCGCTCGCCGCTGCCCGCCGCCTCCTCGCTCTCTCCAGCAGCTGCGGACAGGTCCCGCCTCGGGGCTGGCGTGGCGATGCCCACGCGGCGTGACACGGGTCCGCGGAGCATCCCCTGGAGCATCCCGGTCCCACGGGCCGCGCCCGGGCTGAGCTCGCCGGCCCCCCCCGCCACCGGCGGCACCGGGTGGGCGGGAAACGCTGAGTCCGAGTTTGCTGTTCCCAGCTCTGGGAGCGGCTCCCGGGCTGCAATTTTCCACCCTGAGCTTCAGCCGAGGGATAGCGTGTGACATTTGAGTCACCCTGGGTTTCCTATTCTTGTGCTTCAGAAACGAAGTGACAACGTCCCCGTGCTGGGCACGAGGGGAAG